TGCTTATTTAGAAAACTTTGGCTGTTTAGCCAGTAACATGATAACATTGTTCATTTGACATCTCGTCATCATATCACGTCCTACCTCAGATTTCGTTTCCAAAGGTATGAATTGAACTAGTAGGTTTTGCTTGTCACCCAGAAACGAAGAAGACGTTGCGATGAATGGACTCGTCTTGTTAGCATTCGTTGGCTTCGTGTTGGCCATAGGCCTAGCCCTGCCTTACAGTGACGACGAAGATCAAACAATCGATGACGAGATGAATGAGGTGCCAAATGATTTGACAGCCGAAAACGCAAAAAGGTACGATGAAAACTGATTAAGCTATAAAACGATGTCTTTTCTATTATCTATTATTCTGTAATACAAAAACATAAGGCGTGGGACTTGGCATGGTAGTAGCCATATACAATGTTAACTACTGCAGTCGTGCGTTTGGCTTTATTAAGTCGTACATTTCCTAACAGTTTGATTAAAAACATGCTGTTCTTTTTTATTACCATTATTGTATGTTACAGTGACCTGGATTGGGATGACGAAAAATATTTTCCAGATGGAAAAGAAGATGAAGACGACGAAGAAGATGACGATGACGATGACAATGACAATGATGACGAAGGAGATGAAAGAGAGAATAACAATCCTTTGAGTAATCCACTAAAGAAGTCATCAGATCCATTTATTCGATTTCGGAAAATCTTCCGCCGCTTCCGTCGCCGACGTCGATCCCGTCGTGGAGGCTTTCGGTTTCGAGGGTTCTTTGGACGCCGTCGAGGTGGACGCTGATAAATCTGCAGCACCGCTTTCTTAAAACGTAACGTAAGGACATTTCCGTTTCTTAGTTTAATCATGGTTAAAGGGGGAAGCTGGTTGATAGGAAATCTTAGTAGGTAAAAGCACAAAAAGTTTCTCCTTTTTCGAAATCTGAAACAATCTGGATCCATGATTAAAAGTATTTTGTTACTGGTTTACAAACCTATCACAGGACGTTTCAGCTGCTGCGACAACCTTCTTCAGTTAAAAAAACTGTAATTAAGTAAGGGCGTCTCTGACGTTATATGAATAAAAAAAACGAAATTCAAAAAATGTATAATAAATGTGTTATTTTATGAAGATTCTATGGCAAGGAGGGGGTATAATTCAAAATGTTAGTAAAACAATAGCGTAATAATTGCATAATAACTGGGAATTTCTTAAAGTCTCCTATAGATGTTTGGGAATGAAATTTGGGAATGGAGAGGCTGTGTTTCCTCTAGCGTACAATGACGAGTGTTTTCGACTTGCTCTCGATCTACAACTTGAATAGCTAACTATTCAGTCAGGTCCCTTTCATGCTCGTATAAGATTTGGAGGAAAATGGCAACCGCGTTCAAAGAGACTTAAATGTGAAATAGAAAATGGGGTATGGGTGAGAGAGGGAAAATAAAAACCGAAAGAAAAAGAAGAGAACGCGGCCTAAAGGATGGAGGGAATGAGCGTGAAAGGAAGTTGCGAGCACTAAGAATCTGGGCTAGAGAACTCTAGCAACATGAAAGTGATATGAATACATTAGGGAGTCAGATCTTATACACGCTTTGCAAGGGACTGGTGTGAATAACTCCTTTGAATAAAAGAGTCAATGAGTCAACTGTAATAACGGAATTTTCACGGTCGATGATATCCAGTGATAATATGTGCATGCAGATTAGCAATCGCTGGACCTATCTCTCTGTTCCTTTACTAATTGATGGTATGCTTTCCAGCTGGTCTTCACATCAGTGACGTTATCTGACAATTAATTGACGCTTGACCTCATTGAGACTCTTAGTAAAAAGTAGCGTTTCTATTGCAGCTGCTGGAAAAGAATTATTTTCAGAATCTCTCCTTGTCGCTTTTAGAGAGATAATTAGCCTTCCATATTTCATAGCATTCGCTATAAGTTAAAAAAAAAAAATCACCTGTGAAAAATGGATTTCTTATCCCAGATAAGTAACTATTAGAGATAACGATTTTCTGATCAATATTTATCAACAGAAATGAAAAGAACGGCAGAGGGAATGATTAGTTCAACAATATTGGTCTGATAGCATTGTTTCCTACAAAAGCTGATTTTCTTTATGCACGAAATTAGCTTTTTGCCCAATGATACTTAACACGTATCGTGTTTTTCTTTATTTTATTATTATTATTATTTTTGATATTTCGATATGGTGATTGAAGAAAAATCTGGCTAATATGCTGATGAAGACTACCGTCTAAATCCATCGTCACTACTATGATTTAAAGCTTTAAGCCTGCAAATTGGTAAAGACGTGTTGATGATAAGTCTCGATCTAACACGAGATAAATATAGATTCTAGAGATAGGAAAATATAATATTCGATTATCATGAAATTAATATATGTACCCAAAATAACCGTAACATGCACTTAAAGTTAATAGAAACTCCTGAACGGAAACGACAGCTTTCTTCTTTATTCAGAGGTTGGGACAAAAGGAACTTTCTTTAATTATTCCAAAATAATGCGGGAGAAAGAATAGAATCTCTACTAGCAGATAATCTTATACATAGAGAAAACTGATCAATACTGAGGTGGCGTTCAATGACGAATGCTTAAGGATCTTTATCAGAAAAGTGGGCACTTGTATGTATATTGATGAGGTAGTGAGGTAGAGCTGATCAACTTACGACGAAGCGCTACTTTTGGCAGAATTAACGGCTTGATTAGACTGTAACTTTTGATAGTGAGATATGAAGAACTGGATCAATGTGGCGTGTGGTGTTTTCCTCCTAAGTTCAGCATGGAAAGGATGTCTCTCGAATCTCTTACAGGAGAAGGAATCTGATTTAGCAAACTTGCAGGAATTTAATGCGGTCGAGAGAATCGAGGACACTCCATATGGTCTACATGGGTTGGTATTAATTGAATAACGATATTTTGTGATACCTATTGAAGAATACAAATCTGTAAATACTGCACATTCTTCATTGCGCACAGCACTAACTTAGTTGTACAGTCACACTGCTCGGAGGTTTGCGAAGTTATTTTTGATTGACCAAAGGGTTTTCGAATCGCTGCTCTCTTTGAGTAATATGATATATTTTGAGAAAATCACTTTTAATCCGTCTATATGACGCAAAGTGGAATGAAAGACAAAAAAAAGGGCGATTCGATAAAGGCATATGCTTCGTTATGGAATAACATATCCATTTTTGACAGGTTTCATTCTTTGTATAACTTAACTATTTTATGGTATCTCATAGTTATGATGAAAATAAAGAAGATGTCAATGAGAGTAACGCTGAAGATGGTCATTCTGATATAGCTTTCCTCAAAGATTCAAGCTACCGTCGCAAACGTAACCGTCATTGCATCTGTTACCGACGATCCTCTCGTCGACGTGGTGGTGGTGGTGGTGGCTGGCGACCTTTACCCCGCCCCTACAAGTAACGAACTTGACTCTGTTTCTTGACTTTCCATTCCTTAATGTTACACTTTGGAAAGTTGTAAGATTTCATAGAAGCTTGTGTAAGCACTGTAAAAGACTATAAAGCTTTGCTCCTAGAATGGAAGGCGATTAAATATCTGGTTTGTGCTATTTCCGCAGCGCTGTTCTTTTCTTTGATCATGAACTTGTCATTCGCTATAATTCATGTCTTGGAGCAAACTTTCTGTTCGCAATTGAGTTTCCTCACGGTAGTCCGTTACATGAACACGAAGTGTGTTCATCCTATGCATTTAAGCATTTCGTACAGTCAACTTGTCGTACTTAAAAAATCATGCTTCGCAATGCTCCAAAATGGATCAATATACAGTAACAAAAATTGTAACAGTACATCCCAAGAATAACTTTTGTTTTGTAATGTCTGAATTGAATGCTAGATGGTAATTTTGTTTTTTCGGGGGGTAAATAGTGCTGAAGATATAACTAGTAAATTGCCAGGTAGAAAGGAACCCTGATTAAGCGCAGGTAATCATTACGCTTTTACACGAGTTTTAAGTATCTTTTAAACTTCATTCCCTGAAACGTTGTTCCTAGCAAATAGTAAACTTTGTCAGGTACCCGAGCATAGGGAACTTCCTATACATTACAATCAATTAAATCAATCCTCTTTGTTCGCTTGTAAAAGGATTCTGAGACTGCTTTGGCATAATTTAATCGGATGTATGTGGGGTTTAAAGTGTTGGTACATGGCTGTTTGGTTTAGTCTATCGTACCCCTGGAAATTACCTTCCAAGTGATAGTTTCCTTCAGTTGAAATTTGGAACCCTTCATTGATTAAGTAACAGAGCCTAACGGGATTTGACGTATAGTATAGTCACTACTATCTTCCTACCCTCCTAGATCACATACTACCCATTTTCATTTGTTTCCCTTCATCCCCCACCTCCCTTCGTTTCTCCTTCCCAGGGGTTGATACCCCGATAAACAACTACTTCGTTCAACCGCAGCTGTGAAGGTTCGTGTTATCTGCAGATTTTTGAAGGCAAAGTGCCATTAATATGCAAGAGTGTTGGCTTTATTTATTTCGTTTAACATAACGAGATTTTGTTATTTTAACTAACCTAAAAATGATACCTGAGCCAGTTTGCTGAAAAAAAGCTATAGTTAAAAAGGCTACTGTTACCTGATATTACAGTTGAGCAATTACGAATTCACAAAGGCTATGAAATGTATATGAACTTAAGACATGCACCAACAAAAGCATTTCTAAAATAAAATATATATTGGTGCAGCGATAGTTATTGCAGTCAAATGATTTGATCATTATCCAAAGTTTTGGGCAAAACATATATTTAAAACGGATTGATGAAGCCAAAATTACCTAGATATTTTGTCCTGCGTGACTGGACGAAAAACAGCCCATCTTCCTTAATCCTATGCAGACCGAGGGAGGAAAGGGCTTTTGAGGCCCCCACCAATTTTGAGCAAAAGTATCTTTAATAGTTATGAAGCAATAAACTCCAAATTTGATGAATTTTTTTCCGGAAATTTGTGTGGAAACAAGCTGGTGTCATATATTTCGTTGATAGTTCAAGGAACTTGATCTTTCTTTATCGGTTACCGGGATGGTGCTCTTCGATAATGATGAGATCAATCAGTGACGTCATCATTACATGTAACGGAGCTCAAAAGAAACATATTTACACTTGCTATGCATCCTCTAAGTGTTATAGTGTGGGTGCGCCCAGTTCCAAACCTCCCACCCCCTCTCTGTATCCCTTCGGTCCCAGTTAAAAGACCAAAATGCCCGGTCTGAATAGAGTTAATATATAGATTTAGGCCAGCCAAAAAGCGGAGCTCCTAAGTTAACAATGCAGTTTGTTATACCTCCCAACTCAAAAATGTATTCCGATTGGAGGAAAACATGTCACGTGTCGTTGGTCAAATCTCATCAGCTCCCTAGGGAAACAACAACTTGAACTTT